TGGCACAGACCCTTGGTTATTGCTGTGCTTCAACCCATAGATGCTAAGGGTGAGTTTCCAACCCACCAGACGTATCTCAACTGACCATCTGGTCCTTCCTCGAGACAAATAAGCATGAGTAAGTGCAGCTTGTTTGAATTCACATGGTAAACAAATCTTTCAACTTGAACCCTGGAAATGCTTGTCATTCTCTAATGATGGCAATTAACTACAAGTATCTGTAACATCCCACCATAAAGCCCTAAAGAAGCTAAAGTAAAGTTGGAGTTATGTCTCATGAAAAGGGAGTCTGAAGCCATTTAGATAGCTCAGAAAATCATACTCTAGAAAAAAATATGGACCAGAAGCCATGAGATGGTGATAAGATGATTGAAAAAAGACAACAAATACAGATGGTGCTGAAAGAGAAGTCCACTACTGATTGTCATGTGAAGTCCTGCCCAAGTGGATGGAGAGCACTGAGAAATGCATTACCCTGCATAGCAGGACAATATAATGCCTCCTTTCTTTGGGTTTAGGGCCTTTTATGGAAAAAGAGCTCTCAAATTAGCAAAAGTAACTAGAGATTTTTGTGTGTTTCCTCTTCTCAGGACCACTGTCAGGTACCTTGAAGGAAGGACAGCCTGGCCTTCGGGATGTCAGATCTCTCTGATTTTTTTCCTACTAGCCACCCAAATATTAAATCCTCCAAATTTCCCTATCAGTGAAACTGCAGTCTCCATGTTTGAGCCTCTACCTGGTTCTTCCTATAGGGCCTGATCCTTTCCAAGATTTGCTTGCTGTGTCTCAAGTGGCGATTTTGGGAGGTTTTGGGAGCCCTACATGAAGTGGGCTAGAATTAACTCCCTGGTTTCCAAAGTGAAAGCTGGAGAAAGGTCCAAAGAATGTCTGAGAATATCTCAAAAGATTTTGCAGAGATAAAAAGAGTCCCCTGCATCAGAGCCATATACGTTACACCAAGCAGTACTCCTGTCCTTGGTCTGGGTTCCTCCACCATTTCTCCAAAGCCAACAGGCAGCCAGCAGCTGGTAGGTCTTCCTGGCAGGTTTTGACTTCTCCTTAGGACACTGACAGCAATACTCATGGGTTAACCCCAAGAGGGGTAGGAGTAGAGGGTTTCCACTGGGAATCCACCCCAAAGCAGGTTATGAATGCTCCCCCACCCCATTTTCTGTTGATGCTCTGATTTCTTTTTCCTGAGACCTCCAATATTGTGTCATTTCGATTTTGAGATGAACAATGACAGAGAGGAAGATAAGAAGAGAAAGATTCACTTTATTTTCTCTGTTAATAAGATACCTGTTTGCATGCCTGCCTCCCCCTCCCCTTCCTCTGAGCTTTCACTGATTCAAGGATCTGTTACTGGGTGCTCATTGGAAACAGCTCCTCTGTGTTTACTGTCTCTGCAGGAGATGTTATTGCCTCTCACAGCTTAAATTCATGATTTTTTTTACTCTGTTTGTTTGCTTGTTTGTTTCCAGTTCCAGCCTTCCTTCTTGTCTCCGTTTCCTAGTTGGAGGCTGCCTGGATATTCAAACTACTTTTGAGATAAACCTTATTACTTATCCTTCTTATGCAAGGAAATTAATCATGAGTTCAAGACCAGATAGCCTACCTTGGGTGCACAATGAGGGTTCGTTGCCACTCAAGGGCTGTTTAGTGTTATCCAGGCCACTGTATCCCATAGAATCAATAGGAGAAAAAAAGTGTAACCCCAAATTTAACCACCTGCAATTTGAATCACCGGTCTGAATATGAGACCTGATGTGTCTTCCAGTGATGGCAGTGATTCATTTTGGTATGAGAATGGTCTTCCAGCAGGGAGGTAATGGCCTGGTCACTGGACAGAAGACCTGAGTGGCTTAATTTCCGTGGGACCTTCATTTCCAGGGGCACCTGCGGGCCTTTGTTGTTTTTCCACACATGTAAATGGAAACAGGCTTTCTTCCCTCACTCTGCTAGCTGTGAAGGAACGGGATCATGGCAGACTCTCATGGAGAAAGGTAGAGCTGCCTACGTGCTGTCAACACTTCACAACGTAGAAAAGCCAGGTGTGAGATGGAAAGGAAATAAACAGTGACTGAACACTATTAAGAGCCTTACGATTTTTTATTCCTTTGGGTTTTTTGTTTTCCCCGCCCTGGGCTGGCACCTAGGAAGCACTCCTGGCTTTGCAGGCTTCCTAGGGTCAGTCCTGGAGGCTGGGTTCATGGCCAAGGCTGTTAGGGTGGGCAGCATCCTGTTCTCCTCCTCCTCATCTGGCATTTGGCTGTTGTGGTGCCAGGAGCCCATCCTAGGTTCAACGAGGATGATGTGAATGTAAAACCAGAGCCAGCCTGAGGTTGCTGAGGAAGAAGGAGCTGAGAGGAAGGCAGCTGGCGAGCAGCAGGTCTTTGCCACTACCACCATGCCCCTACGTTGGGTTAGCTGCTAGTATCTAAAGAGACCTCTTGCAGTAGTCGATGGAAAAAGGGGAGGCTGCCCCAGCTTATTGCAGAGAGCAAAAGGGTCTCACAGCCACAGCAGAGCCAAGCGGGCAGCAACAGGAAAGCTCGCCAGAGAAATGTTTGCAGAAAATGGGCTGTCATTGTCTCCACTGACCCCTTCCCTCTGCTGAGCCAACATCGCCGTTTTCATTTCCAGGCAGCAAGCTGGAAACGTTTCCTTCTCCGTCTACAGATGCCAAAGGTGCCTGAGCCGAGACAGAAGCTTTCGGGGTGGCTCATAACGAAAAGCACCGCAGTAAAATGCTCTCGGGGTTGAAGCAGTGCTTTTCTGAGCATCGCGCATGCTTCCTGCCTTCCGCCGCCGCGCAGCAGCCTGTCAGGAGTGGGACAGTCACAGCCTTTGCCTGTCAGACTGTGGGATTTCTCTCTCTCTCTCTCTCTCCGTGTCTCTGTGCCTTTGGTGCAATGCAGTATTTTCTGCTCGAGCTGCTTCACTCACCGGAGCCCTGTGAGTGCTGGAGAAAATGAGGGGGCTGCTTTGCGGAGCCTCCCCTGCGCACAGCCACAGCTCCTGCCTTTGGTGGGGCCACGCTCAGCCCAGCCATCAGGCAGGGGCACGAAGGGAACATTTTATGCCCTGGTTCTGTGACCTGCCCTCTGCAAAGCGATTGCTGGGAAGGGAGGATCATTGAAGACATCCAGTGGAGGAGCGTGATTTCTGGGAAATTTGCATCCAGAGAGGCAGCAGCTTGCATCCCAGAGCACATCTCGAGATGTCTCTCCTTGTGTTGGATGATGTAGGGAGGGATTCGGGAAGACACCAACAGGACACAGCTTGTCATGTCTAGGATGAGGAAAAAACAGCATGATAAATTCAGATTTTTGCTGGCCAGTAATAAGGAAAGACCTGCGTGCACCAGCTTAGGGCTAGTTCCTTTAGGTGTGTTGGCCATTTCCACACTGCAGAGCGCTGGACCCATGGCTTATCCATGGCCCTTAGACATACTAAATAAGTTTAGGTGGATTTTACTATCTAGAATGCTTGAAATGTAAAAGCTAGCCCCCAAAAGGTGTTTGGGCTTTGTCTCAAAGGCACACTTGGTGATCTTGAAGGTCTTTTCCAACCCAAATAATTATGTGATTCTGTCGTATGGTTCTATGCACCTCATTGGCTTTCTAGGCAGAAGCTGCAACCCCAAATGCAAGAGTAGCCTCTGGAAAAAAAAATAAAATAAACAGATTGTTGCTGCAATTACTTCTGGCAGAAACTCATCCTCTCTGCTTTTTGTGTGCACACAGGAATTAGGAAAGTGCATGAACTGAGCCGTGTTTTCCTGCCTTTACTTAGAAACCTGTCTCCATCCCATGTATCGCATCCACCTTCCAGCCAAACCTGCAGAGCTTGGTCCCATAGCAGCAGTACCCTGCCCCTACTCTGCTTCCAGTCCAAAAGCACAGAAAACAGATTTTATAACCCATGCAACATTCAGATGTGCCCAGCAATGTATTTAATTGGTTGTACAGGACCCAGAGCAGCAAACAGCGGGTTATCACCAGCTTTGCACGCTGGCTGGAAATGTCCTCACTCACCCTCACTCCTCAGAGCAAAGGAAAGAAAGGGAGGAAGGAGGTGGATGGATAGCACAAGAAACCACTGTTTCTCCCCTCCTCACTCCTCTCATTTCTAATGAGGAGCAGGAAGAGCTGCTCCTTCCCCAGCAGCCATGGAGCTTGTTTGAAGCAATTTGGAGGCAACTGAAAGAAAAGGAATAAATGAGTGGATATTGCAGTTTATGGGTGGCTGAGTCAACCCCCCAGGCAGCGATTAGAGGCCCACAGTCCCTTTTATGCCCACAAAAAGAAAATGACTTAAATTTGTTCCATTTTAGCTCCAAACAGGAGGCGAAGTTGTAGTGGGCTGGATTGTCAGTTATGCCACCTTCTAATATTCATCTGGAGGAAAAACAAAACAGAACAGATTTTTTATTTTATTTTAAATAAAGCGTCAGTCAATTCAAAGCAAATTTCTCTGGCTTCCATCCTCTCCTTCTAGCTGAGATGCACAGAAACGGGGGTGGAGAAAACAGAGAATACACAAGTGCAACTTCCCTGCCCTTTCTCCCACCTCCGTTTGCCCTACAAATAGTTTGCAACAAGGCTGTTTGCCCAGCCGCCTCCTTGTGAGCACTATCTGTGCTGATTCCTTGGCTTCTTCTTCACTTATTTGAAATCAGCCTGGTTGAACAAACTCAGCTCCGAAGAGTGGACAAGATGAGCATGCCTGCTTCTGCTACTGATTTTCTGAGTGAGCTTGGATAAGCTACGAGAAAATTATTATATTTTTCCGCAACAAATTCCCACTCCCTGCATTGCCTTTAGCAATGCTGAAATCTGCAGGCAGCTGGACTGGAAAAGTCAGGCCAAAACACTCAATGCTTCAGTTACTTTGCTGGGAGAAAAAAATAATTAAAAAAAAAAAAATCGCAGCGTTGCATCCTTATGACTAACACCAAAGGACCTCTCAGTCCTCACCACTGCTGTCCAGTGGCCAGTGCAGCCAGAAATTCTTCCCATGGGGAAGGTGAGACCAGGGTGAGGTGCTGGAGAAGGAAAGGTGGAAATTTGGAGCTTCTTCCAACATAAAGCTGGGCTGCAACGAGGGTGCACACCAGGCAGAAAGATTCATCCTTGTCTTTGAAGAATACATGGGCTAAGAAGAAAAAAAGGGAGAAAATGAAAGAGAATCACCCAAGTCACCTGAAATGTCAGTGGCTGGGGTGCTTATTACCCAGTAGTTTTGCCTCTGTCCTACAAAGGAGAAAAAAAAATCTTTGTATTCTTAAACTCAATTCTCTCATCTGTGTTACTCTTGAGATTTCGGTTTGTTTATTTATTAATAGGGAAAAGATACAGTAAGATTTAAAATGTACTTGTCAACCTACATCTCTTAGAATCATGTTTTCAAGTCTCCTGGGACAATGGCTACCATGGCATCCGAATCTGAATCCGCCACATCGTCTCCTCCTTTGTGAAATGATGGAAAATTGACATTTTTCAAGTCTTTCAGAGAAATTACAAAACAAAAAGAACAGACTGGGAAAAGGAAAAAAAAAAAAAAAAAGAGCTACACACACTTAGAGCAACAGCTGTTGAAGCCTTGAAGTTTTCATCAGATAGAAGAAAGGAGAAAAATCCTCCTGGATGATCAGGCAGAATTCTCGCCGCGGATGGTGAAGCTTAGGTTGGTCCTACCTGCTATATGTGCTAGTATTTGTGCCCTTTTTGTATGTTTGTTTGTTTTTCAATTTGATTATGATAGGCTTTTTAGAACATGGATTTTACAAAGGCAAAAATACAGTACAGATTTAGATGGGTGGGACCTTCCATGCTAGCAGTATCATGTATTTTTCCAGAGATAAATATGAATTGGCATATACACGGGTCAAGGTGCAATTTGGAGGCCCAGGTCACTCTCAGTTTTATTCAGCATTTATGTAGCATCTCAGGCAATCTAGTTCTCCACTGTAACCTCTTCTGGTCTTTACATGTCCAGTGCCTTCCAAGCAGTGATATATCCCACCAACGTGCCCAAAAGTTCCCACTTCAACCAGCTTTTGACTTCAGCTGGTGCCTCAAACCAGATGCAGAGAACAGCAACAACATCTGCATAGGGAAAGGCATAAAAGTACTGTATGAGACAGCAACAAGGCCAAGAACAGAGCCTAAAACTTTGGGGAACATTGTGGGGTTTTGCATTAAAAGACCTGGCAAAGGAAGCAGTACACCAGATATCCAGAACCGGTACATGCTCAAGCCACTTGTGCTAAACTTGGATGAAGGCAAGGAGAAAGCAGATGCCTGGACTATTACAATAAGCACAGATAGGAGAAGAGACAGTAGGACTTGAAGTGCAATGAAGTGCAACCCTAAAGATAACAAAAGTTGCAGAAACTTTTTAATACTTCATGGAGTTGTTCTGTTTCTGCTCTTAGAAAAGCATGTAGAGCATGACAGAAGCTGAAAACCTATGAGCGGCAAGACGGTCTTTTGGTTGCAACTCTTGTCAGCAGCTCAGCAACTATAGATGTCAATCGTGGTTCCACTCTATTTTTTTTTTTCCTGAATCTGACCACTTGCTTACAGCTAGATTTCTCTTAAAAAAAGCTTCTGAGCTAGCTGCAAAACAATTTTATTTGTTTATCTGTCTTTCCTGTAGAAGATGTTGGGGCTTTCTTGGAAAAAAAAAAAAAAAAAAAAAAAAAACTTGGAAACTGAGTATTTTTCAATTTTTAAGGAAAATTCTCACTTCCTTTTTGCTGCAAATTATTTGTAATTAAAAAAAATTGCACTTCCAGAAAAAAAAAAAATTTTTTTTTTTTTTTAATAATGTCAGCAATAGAAATCAAGCAAATAAATTCAAGAACGCTTTGTGAAAAAGCTCTAAGAGGCTCCTGATTAAGCATCTGTATGAGGTCAGATTTCCCAGAATGTCCAGCCTGTGGGATCACAGAATCACAGAATTTCTAGGTTGGAAGAGACCTCAAGATCATCGAGTCCAACCTCTAACCTAACACTAACAGTCCCCACTAAGCCATATCCCTAAGCTCTACATCTAAACGTCTTTTGAAGACTTCCAGGGATGGTGACTCCACCACCTCCCTGGGCAGCCCGTTCCAGTGCCTCACAACCCTTTCAGTAAAGAAATTCTTCCTAACATCTAACCTAAAACTCCCCTGGCGTAACTTTAGCCCATTCCCCCTCGTCCTGTCACCAGGCACATGGGAGAACAGGCCAACCCCCACCTCTCTACAGCCTCCTTTAATGTACTTATACAGAGCAATAAGGTCACCCCTGAGCCTCCTCTTCTCTAGGCTGAACAAGCCCAGCTCCTTCAGCCGCTCCTCATAGGACTTGTTCTCCAGGCCCCTCACCAGCTTCGTCACCCTTCTTTGGACCCGCTCAAGCACCTCGATGTCCTTCTTGTAGCGAGGGGCCCAAAACTGAACACAGTACTCGAGGTGTGGCCTCACCAGAGCCGAGTACAGGGGGACGATCACCTCCCTAGCCCTGCTGGTCACAGTGTTTCTGATACAAGCCAGGATGCCGTTGGCCTTCTTGGCCACCTGAGCACACTGCTGGCTCATATTCAGCCGACTGTCCACCATCACTCCCAGGTCCTTCTCTGCCTGGCAGCTCTCCAACCATTCCTCTCCCAGCCTGTAGTTCTGCTTGGGGTTATTGCGCCCCAGGTGCAGGACCCGGCACTTGGCCTTGTTGAACTTCATACAGTTGACCTCAGCCCATCGGTGCAGCCTATCCAGATCCTCCTGCAGAGCCTTCCTACCCTCGAGCAGATCGACACACGCACCTAGCTTGGTGTCATCTGCAAACTTACTGAGGGTGCACTCAATGCCATCATCCAGATCATTGATGAAGATGTTAAAGAGGACATCCTGAGGATCCCTGATTTGTACCACAAAATCTAAAGTCATCAGAAGCTACTCCTGGATTTTTGTAGGGACTCAACCAAAACTCAGAGTCTTTCTATTTCATCCTCTCCTTGGGATGTAAGATGCTGTGGTTAGATTTTGGGTGGCCAGTATAGAGTCTGCATCACATGGGAATAGCTGAAGAGCTTTATAAAGCAACCCCAATCCCACACGATGGTTCAGGCAAGCTGAATATTGTCACCGTGCTGATGCAAACACCAGTCTTGCCAACTGCAGAGCATCAGGAGACACTTTCCCACCTCCTCCCTCTTCATGAACAGTTTGGAGCTCAGCCATGCCCTGGAAGAGGGCCCAGATATTTACGTTCCTGGACCTTGGCTCATGGCAGCCAGTGTTTGGTTTTGAAAACAACTGCTGATTAAACAGAAATCCCCTGCCGAACAAACAGAAAGAATCTTTTCTCCCCCATTTTTGCCCATGCAGTTATATGCCTGGGCTGGAAACAAAACTACATTTTGCTGGACAAATCCCTCTTCACCAAATTCTAGCAGCACTGCTTTGGCGAATACCTGCATTGATGTTCCCTGGGAGATCATCTTGTCAATGAGGGAAATATTCTTCCTCAAATGGTTAAACTGACCCTTGATAAAATTGATTGAGAGAGTGCCACATAATCATTAGTGCCCTCTCAGTCTCTGCAGGGTTTGATTTCTGTCCCAAACACCTTTGCTTGCAAAACAACCTTCACTGGTGATGGCCATTTTTGTCCACAAATAATCATCTTAGCCCTTCAAAATGCTTTGCTTTTCTCCAGCTTAGAGCAGTGCTGTTACAACTCTGAAATACTCCATAAAGTTGCCATCCCAACACCAAAATAGTTGTGATTTTACCTCCAAGAAGACACAAGTATTCTTTCCATCCCTAGGATTTTACCCCATAACTGGAGTCTGTGCCTTAACAAATACTATTTGCATTGCAAGACACCCCACTGCTTTCAGTTTTGATGTAGATTCCAGCGCATGGTGCTGTACATGTCCAAATCATTTATAAAGTCAAAAAAGAAGACAATGTATGGAAACAAAGGTAACAATCAGTTTTGAATTTGTCAACTGGAAGTTGAAGCCACCCCAGTGTCTCTATCCCCTTTGTACCTGCAAAGCGTTGGACTGCATGGACCATGTTCTTCCCACCACTTCCTCTTGTGCTTGACTTCAGATTAAGTTTGTGCTGCCACTTTTTCCAGGTAACCTGGTTAACATGAGACAATATCACACTATCTGAGTAGAGACCTGCTAGATTTTCAAAGAGGTTTTGCAAAGGAAGACATTTTCAGTACAGCTCAGCAGGCTGGGTACTGAGATCATCTGAAAATCCAGGAGCTTTCAAGGGACAGATATTTTTGAAAATCTGAAAATTTTTGGAAATCTTGTACCATAACTTATTCAAAGTGCTCTAGGGAGGCTACCATCTTCTGAGTCCTGCCAGTGCCTTTGTGTCTTGTGGTTCTGATGAGGCTGTTGAGTATTTAATTGTTACATACATCATGTTCCTTTTTCAGCAATGCATCTAGGAATAAAAGCAAATATTCCATTACAAATTATTTCTCAAATAAATCATATTCTTTTCCAAAATACATTGCTTTTCCAACAGTGTCTTCAATGCCAAAACCAACAGCTTAGTGCCTCAAACCTGAAATTTTTGGATGTGAGTACAGTTCAGTTGCCTTTAGGCCCATTTTCCCACAGTGTGAGACTCCCTGACTGGAATACATCCCTAACAATATACCACTAACTTTTACAGGAAGACTATGATGACAAAGAAAAATACAGACTAACTAAAACGTGTAGAAAAATTGAGCAAATCTCTAGGCACCAGAGTAGTACATTGGAACCAATGTTTATTATTTCCCATCTTTTCTTTCCCTAAACTAGTATTTTAGCTGAACTCCTTCCAAAAATGTTTAAAGATAGAGACAAAAAGTTCTTCATAAAAAAAATGGCATTCCTCTAAAAATAAAAAATAAAAATAAATCCTACTGTCTTTTGTAGTTTCTTTAGAGTCAGCTCTTATGAAGCCTACTAGCTCGGAATCCCACTCTTGAATGACAGAAAAGATACTGGATCAGTTGAGTGATGCAATTTCTCCTCTTCTTGCTCTGTCATTTCTGCTTTTCTCTGCCACAACAGTTGAAAAGAGATCCAAACCGCTTTGGACAAGTGACCATCTGACCCAGACAGCAGTGCCTGTCATATAACTCATCCCACAGCTGTCAAATATTGATATCCTTCAGTTGGCCATTGGTCTAGCTTGGATTGACGGTGATCTCGAGGTGAAAGCCTTTGGTATTCCCATACTAGTTGTGGTCAAGCCAAAGGAATTTGCAGAACATGATTACAGAATACTAGTGGATAGCAAAGCACTTTAACAAGTATTTTGAGTCCTGAACACCAAGGAGCCTCTACGTCTACTGAGAATAACTCTGAAGATTATGTGTTTTGAATCAACTAAGGAAAGGAAAGTGTAAGCTTTATACTGACATATATTTTGGGAGGCACTCTGGGCTACTATCCCCAAAGGGTGAGTAAATACCATGTTCACTAGAATTATTTGAAAGTGTATTGGCCTCAGTGAGTACAGAAACAACCTTGTACAGGCCACGAGATGATCTAATAGGTCTTTCTCTCTCTCCTTTCTAGCCCTTGGTCCCCTGAGCCATCCATTTTATTCAATGCAATTGCTTTAGTTGCTGCTCTGAGGCTGACTTCCTTCTCTAATCTGCAGAACAATAATGCTACGATTAGTTTTCATTCTAACTGCTTGGCCTTTCATTACAGAGCTGATGCTTACTATGGTTACCAGGAAAGAAGAGAGCACACTACTAGCTTCATCTGCAATCTACTCTAGATACTGCTGGTAGACCCATCACACCTTTCATGGTACCTGCAGGCTGCGTTTGGCAGGAGATGGAAAGGCAAACTCACACCCCTTTGCAGAGCCTTCCTCATCCACAGTTCCTCATATCATCCCAGATAATAATATAAAATAAAACAGGCTGCATTAGGCCAGGCTGGATATCCTCCCACCTGCCTACTTTCCCGTTTCCAATAATGGACATGTGCAAATACCTAGAGAGAAAGTATACAGAACCAGGCAATTATAAAATGATTCATTCTCCAATTTATCCACCCAAGGCCTTGTCTTCTTTACATCGTAACTGTGCCTCTTCAATGGGATGGCACACATGGTGGGTAGGTAGCTTCAGTGAAGACATATGTTCAAATATCTTATTCTATCTCTGATTCACATTATCCTAGAAAATCTGGAGGACACTTGAATTCTGAAGCCATTGGCTTAATGAAGTTAAGTGTCTTTAAAATATGTAAAATGTACTCGTACAGAGTGAGACTCATTGTTTAGAAATACCAGTTGAATCTAGATTATGCTTTTGGACTGAGGTAACCCAGGGGAGGTTCAAGGGCTGATCTAGAGAAATGTTGCCCTCAAACACTTGAGTCCATATGTCTGGTAACTCTGAGTACCTAGAATTATGCCTATCCTTGCTTCCACTTGAATGAGAACAAGAGTGTTTTGATGCATTTGATTCAAGAACAAGAAAGTTCAAAAGCCTCATTAAAGTCAGATAACAAGAGCGAAAAAAAAAAAGTGGGGGGAGATGGGAAATGAAATCATTTTGATGGTGGAGTTTAGGGCAGGTCTTGCTCTTTTAAAAATACACACACTGAATAATCCCAACTGATTCAGCAGTAAAAACAGCTTGATCTCAAGAGTGACCAAGAAATGGGAAACAATTGAGACAGGCCTTGAACCTCTCATGTTCTTTCAAATAAATAAATAAAAATAGAAAAGGAAATTTCTTGTGTGTTTTTTTTTTTTTTTTTTCTTTTTTGAACAGGGAGGAAGCTAGAAGCCATACCCACACACACACCTCAATGGTAGAGTTTCCTGCAAGTACTTCACCACGTGGATGCTCCATAACCAGACACAAACCCCTACCACTTTGTGCCTGTGTTTTTGGACAAAGAAAAGCAGCTGCCTCAACGTGCAAGCCCACAATGTTGCCCCTAGTCAGATGACTACTGAACTGCCGCGCCAGCATTTTTTACGGCAGTTTAAAACACTATCAAGGCGGCATCAAACTGCCTTTTACATCCAAACCCAAATGGCTATGGAATGGAGCCCAGAGTGAAATGCTAAATTGGATCCTATCAAATCAGCATCAGATCACACAGGCTAAGCGGTAATGAATGGCTCCTAACGACGGAGTTCATCATTATAAAGTAATGACAAAAGATACATAACCATCGAGGTCTCCAGCAGTGCAACCAGCCGCCACCCATCACCTACCCCCTCCCCTCTGTCTGCCGCCTGCTGATTTTTTCCTATTAGGGTGAAGCTCTTTTCTGGGGACTGTTTTTCTCCCTTTAACTGGCGACGGGTTTCAGGGCTCATTCAGGATAAATTATTCAGTCTAAACAGAGATGCAATAAATCTTAAATGGGAAACAATAGATGATTCTCCCTTTAGACACACAAAGCCTACAAAACTAATCTCCTGCTAAGCAATAGTATGTCCCACCACAGCTGCTGATGGCAAAATTTACAAGGGTAGCATTTGTTTCCTTATGTGCATCTATATTTAGATTGCCAGTGGGCCTCCCCATCCCACAACAACACCAACCAACCATCACTGCACATGTGAATAGGTCACCATGGGAGAGAGAGAGACAGAGGAGTGGTTCACCATCTCCCCCTTTGGAGAAAGACTCAGTGATGCAAACTTTCAGTTATTCCGCTTATTAAATAAGAACACTTAAAAGTGGAAGAAAGCATAGAGTGGTTTGAGTAATTGAATTAGGATTAGTGGTCCCACGGATTCTTTAGCTGAGATTTAAGCCTCTTACATAGCTGGCCTTGCGTTGCTCTTTCTGGAAAGCATGGCCTCAGCAGGAAGGCAACGCTGCTGAAAGCAATTTTACCCACCTTGAACACAGAGAATCCATTTGGAAGCAGGTGAAGCTTCAGACCTACCTATGGTGCCCGGATTTCTGCCCCATCGTCTGAGCCTGCTCCTCCTTTAGCCTCCACCAGGATTCGAGGCACAGGCTAAGCCTGTAGCATCTGGAGGACGGTGCTGCTCCTTAGAGAAGAGAACCAGCTACAAAACACAGAATACAACATCCACTGAGGGTATTGTGCCAGAAACCAGCTGAAACAACACTGTGGTTAGCACAGGCTTCGGCCACCGAGTGGAAATAGCTGTCAGTGGATCCTCGGCAAGCGGCATTTCCACTGGCTGAGGACTTGGCCTTCTGTGTTTAAATCTTTCATCGCATTGCACACCCACTCCTTCCTGCCATCTGCCAGGCACACCGTGCCCCGGGCCAAGTCTGGTGCCGGCTGCTTCTCCCTGCACCAGCCTCCCCAGCCCAGATATGCCCAAGTGCTTCCGCACGCTCCAACTGCTCTTCTCAACCCTGAAAAGAGCCAAGTTGGGAGCTCTGCTGTCATTTCCCCTACCCCCACATCAGCTGTAACAGGAGTGAGCAACTGCTTTGGCTTCTCTTACCTTTCGGGGCCCATCTGGAGAACCTCAGACCTCATGCTAAGGGAAATGGAGGAGCGCCAGCAGCACCTCTGTGATGTCACGCGGGAAGCAATTTATAGCCTGGAAGCAGGAGGTTTATGTGCATTCATGAAATACTCAGGGCTTCCTTGCTTTCCTTTATGGCTGCAGAGTCCTCTGGGAATGGTATGGACTCCTAATGGATGCTGCATTAGCTAATCCAGTGATTCAATTACTTCTAAACACTCTCTGGTGGCAGAGACTAGTCTTCCTTCTCGCTTACTGGAAATAGTTGCTCTTCCAGGGGGAGGGGAGAAGAGCTTCCATTATAAGAAGCATTCCCCTTTCTTTTTTCCTTTTTTTTTTTTTTTTTCTTAGTGACTTTCCATAGGCAGCACTCAGGAAATGGGCACAGATGGATGCAGACAAATCTGAGGTCCGCCAGCCCTCCCCTCTATGGGCCAAATGCAAAGCCCCAGCATCATGAGGAAGGCTGGTTGTACCAGCTCAGCACAGGATGCCCTGAAATGCCCTGAAAGCCACCAGTTTCTGCGAGCTGGCACAAATCCAGCCACCACAGGGTGAAGCCAGAGGTGCTCAGTCCTGCTGACACTCAACTCTGCAGGTTTGTCTGTCCAGACCAACATCCAGATGACACCAGGAGCTGCCCCATCCATTTGCTCCATGGTCATCCTTCAGCTGGACAGCACTTCCAGCACCAAAGGGGGTGGTAAAGTACGGGTACGAGGCTGGACAGACTCCTATCCAAGCAATCACTACGACTGTTGCTGTCCAAACTCATATCACGGCCTTAACTGGATATTTCTTCATATATTTCTCCTTCCCCTGTGGGTGGCTACAATTCAGTGGAGCATTTTTGAGAGTCATTGTCTTAGGCATGGGCTTCACCTGTGTGTCGTACTGAAAATCCATGCTCTGTTAGCTGGTACTCTGCTGTATGAACAGAGCTATGTAAGCCTAAGAACAGCATCAGTCTTAGTTCTTGAAAGCACAGATGAGATGAAAGACAAAGCGCACTCGGAGGAATGAGAAGCTCGTGCCAGAGAACAGCAGGTTTGAACCTGTAATGAAGGAGGGCAGTAACCAGCTTCTTCTGGTGGATATACACATACAAAATACTGCTCCCCTCTGGAAAGTAATCAGCCAAACCATGGGAGGGTCTGCTGTGAGTCTCAAGTGGGTTTTACATAATAATACATGTACACTTCTTAGAAACAGACAGAAAAAATGAGGAAAGATTTGCACAGAATGGGAGTGTCAAGTGTACTACTTCCTTTTGATTTTTCAGGGATGAGCAAAGGAAACCCACTTTTGGCTTTACCTGTACATTAGAATTGCTATATTCCTTTTTATACCAGGGGAATGCTAAAGCATATGCAAAAGACGTTGTTTGTGTACCTTAAAAGTAAAATATGAAATTTTACAAGCTTGTACCAAAATCATCATATGGCCAAGGGCACAAGATGCTCAAACTTTGGTTTGCATCCTTAAAGAGCAGAGGAGATATTATAGAAAAATATATGTATAAGCACACACATACAAATGCATATGAAATATTTTCAAATAAGCAACACCCTACTGGGGAGAAGAATCAGTGTTTCCAACACGCTGTTGCAGAGCACGGAGTCAAGTGATGTGGAACTGCATTAATTACAATTTTACTCAGTGTTTGTCCCAGGCTTGGGCTCTCAGGGATGAATTGCTATTTGCAAGTGGTTTAACACCCTGCTGCTGCTGCTCCTGAGTTCCCAGCTCAGAGGGGCAGGAGAAGTGCTGTTTGCAAGCAGTTCAGCTCACTGCTGCTGTGAAACAGGGACAGCACTGAGCATTTCCCCGAGTGACTTTCCCGGGAGCAAAGCATGAGCAGGCAATTCAAATCCTTGTTAATCTCCCCCTCCAAACAGCACGGAACAGAAATCCAAGACTCTGCCCTTCAGCCTTGGTTCAGTACTTTCAGAAACCTCAAGCTCAGATATTAGACTCAAGTTTCAAGAAAATAAAAGATGCCCTTTGTGTGAGAACACTCAAGTTCAGTCCAGAGGACTCTTCAGTCCAGAGGCTATCTCTAGCAGACGGTTTGGATGGAGCCACAATGTTTTCCATTTTAGGTGTGCTCAGAAGGTATCATAAATTCAAGGAGAAAAATTCAAAGAGATACAGACTGAAATTCAGATGTAACAATATTTTTTCTTTGCATTGTAGGATAACTAGTCTGGAGAGAGGAAATCACGAGTGAGGAGGGCTGGAGGTATGGAGTCACCTCGGAAGGTCAGACAAACAAGGTATGGAAAGACTTTGGTGCTCTAAGCCCAGGAACTGCAGAGGTCCTGCCACTTGTTACCTTGGTAGATCTGGACACAACCCTCTGCCTGTAGAGACTGTTCAGCTACAAGTACAAGAAAAAAGGTGATGGACATGCCAAAACATAATTAAGCTACCTATTGTGGTGAGTGTGTTTAATTTAGGGCTATACCATGGTGTTTTAGTTCAAGAGAGAAGTGATTCTGGCTTTCCACTTTCTAAGGCTGTAAGAATCTCCTTTCCTGCTGTCAATACAGAGAGCAGGCTATTGGAGCATCCACCTTACTGCACGTACACTGGACATAAAGCCTGTGTCTCTCCTTTGACTATGGGGAACCAGGATACAGTGACCCTACACAACATGATCAGAGCTGCCCAGCTCTATGAGGAAACCTGTTGCATACACAACTAGTGCCTAAGTCCTTCATGAGAATCTCAGTGTAAATATAACCTTCATTTAATGAAATTCTAGCCAAACTAAATCCTCTATCCCCACCCCACAGCCATAAAGTACTTTCAACTCTCCAGAGCCAGCCTCTGGCTCTTAGGATGCGCCGTAGCCGTTGTGTATGACAGGAGGACTCGAGGCATTGCCAAGCACTGCTTGTGCACCCCGTTGGTGGCAATGATGGAGTTAATACAGCTCCCATCTACATGTTGAGCAGGCACCTTGCCAGAGGCTTGAAGTCTGGTAAATAAGCAGGCACATCTTGGCTCGCTGGGAACAGATTGTTAACGCGGTTCAGCTCGGGGTGAGATGCGCTGCCGCGCGGCTGTCATTAGCAGGGAGGATTCAGTGGTCATGACTGCGTGTCGCTGTCACAGCCAGAGCTGCACGGGATCAGAGACCTGGTAGGAGGAAATGGGGTTGGCTCTCAACCAGGTCTTGCAGCCCTTGCTCCACCAGCACTCCCGTTCCCCGTCTTGGTGTGACCTGCTGTTTGGTGGGTGTCTCACGTTCCTTCCCTACGTGCATGCAAGTCTGTTACAGCCCCAATTATTTCTAGAGGGTTGAACATTGCCTGAATCAGTCTCAAGTCCTTCCCCTTGTGTTGATCCCAATACTACAACCTCCAGAATTTTTAGTATTGCTGCCTTTCCTGAGATCCTGCAGACTCCTAGTGGGAAATGGGGCAGAGACCCCACACATCACTGGCACACCATGGCAGAGACAACATGCTGGATGTTGTCAACCAGTTTTGATTTGGAGTTAAAGGACACTGACAGACAACTCAAATCTTGTAGGGAACAAGGTGGGGGTAAGAAGCACATCAACCACCCCATCCCCAGGCAGCCACCCCACCAAAAAGGCCAAGTCTGCCAGCAGCCGTGCAGCTTGAGCACCTCTGTCCCCTTAGGGCACATCTCCCTGAGATGATGGACAAGGTCCACGAGTGGACTGACTTCTTAAGTATCCTTTCTGGGACTAAATCATTGACTGGACTTCAGCTAGTGCAGCCACATCACTAAATCCCCTCCTAAAACCCACCAAATCAGAAAACATGACTATCAGGCAACCTGTACATCACAAGGGCAAATTCTGGAACAGGGTCCGTTTAGAGAAACAGCCTGCAAATCCAGAGTTTGCCCTGTGCTGTTCCCTTGAGCCGGAGCTCAGGCACAGAATTATAGACCTATTATCTGGGCTAAAGGAAAAAATCCATCAGAAGTCATTGGTGCAGGGCACGCGGTGCAGTTTGGAGCAGTTTCAGCTCTGTCCAGCAGAAAGCCAGTGGGGACTCCATCTGCTCCAGCCAGCGCATCGCAATGCCATGCTTCCAATTTATTTGCGTGTCCTCGGCGTGGTGATGAGGATCTACATGGGAATTTTCCCTCCATCCCCTGGTTGCTCTCGGCATGCTGTGAATTCAAAGCTGTGCCCCCAACATCACAGGGTGTTAGGAGAGAATTGGTCGCAGTGCCGCGAAATCAGCTGGAAAGTTTGCAGAGCCGCAGCAAGGCAGGCTCATTTTTCTCAGCTGATAAAAAGCCTGAAGAGCATTTTTATTAAATCCATTGAGGGAAACCCCAGGATCAGTGGCAGAAGGGGAGAAGGGGTTGTTATGGAGAAAAATCCTCTCTTAAACCAGACAGAAATCTCGAAGAGAGGCTCAGCCGAGGCATGGTGAATTATGAAAAATTACCAATGACTTCTAAAAAGGAAATGACCACAGCACTGTAACAAACCAGCTCTAAAAAAATACGCACTGAAACCCCACTAGGAAAAGGAATCCAAACTGTGTAACGATACAGCTTTATCACAGTCCATACAGCAGTCAGTAAACAAGATTTCCTATAGCTCTAGCAGCAGAGCTTTTGGGGTGGAAGGGTCAGGAATTTTCCCTCTGCCAAGAGAAGCAGAGAAACAAATGCACTAAAGGCTTTCCAGGGCAAGATCTGCCTCATAGCACATTGGCTACTTGCTTGGTGTTTAAATAATAAAATGAGATGCTGCAGAGTGGGGATGAGTCCTTCCACAGACAGACAGCCATCGCTTGCCAGCTAAGCCCAAAACAGACTCCAACATGGTTCAGCATTGCTCAAAGGGCAAGCAGCAATGTGGATAGAGTTAACTGGACGGTGACAATGCCATGGAGGTACCACACACCGAAGTTACCTTGCTCAGAAAGGGGTCTGAGAAATTTGTGAGCAACAACATTCATCATTTGGGGGTCTCCAGCACTGTCTCCTGTTCAGAGGAGAGCTAGCTTGGATTTCAACAGCCCACATTGTAACAGAGAGAAAATCTAAGTGGCCTGTTTTCATCATAGTATTTGTATTTGCAACCTGACTTCTAGATCATATGCAGAATTTGGAAGCAACATTGCAAAAATAATAGTTTATTGATGTAGAAATTAAATGCAATTTGCCCAAGTGACTTGCCCATAAGGAGCTTCTCCAAAGGAAGCCACCACCACTGTGGGAGACTTCAGTGACGGATGCTCAGTGAGGTTGATTAGACAGAAATGATCTCTCACTCCCAGACCAGCCCTGGCCCTCCCTCTCAAATCAGGTGGAGAAAGGGGCTGTAGAGACAAATCTTTCTCCTTTTAAAATGCTTCCTCCTCCATGCTACAAAGTGGTGTTCTCAGTCTTGCAAAGCGGGAACAGGAGGCACATCAACCTCTCCCCGGGAAGCAGCCTCCCAAGGAACAAGCAATGCCCTTTGCTGTAAGTGAACTTTAAAGGGGAGGAAGCCTTTGTTTCTCAGACCCTTTAAGGTGCTGATCAATAGTAAAGCTTCAAACCTCAAAGGCAAATACACCTTTCCCTGAAGTCAAACCAAGCCTGGAGGCTGGCTTTGCTCCTGATGATGGACAGCCTTCCTTCCAGCCCTGCTCCAGCACCCCTCCCAGAGGGGCCCATTCAGAAGAGGACCCCTGGTCTGTATATTCAGTATTCAGGCCAGAAAACAGCTAGGACTGAGACAATTAACAAGAAGGGATGGCTGCTGGGGGACAGTAACTGCTCCAGCTCCCCAGAGGTGGGTGAGCAGAGACAGGAACACGGTGGGTACATGGGGAATCCTGCCTCAATCTACCCATTTCATACCCCTCTCTACCCATCTCATTCATAATTCAGCCAGGCCATTCACTTCTTCTTCCCTGTTACTCTCACTATAGACAAACAGGAAAATCACTGATCATTAGCAACAAGATACCGAAGGATTCCCAAGGGCAAATTTTATATTGTATTCATAAAGTCATCTCTCCTCTCAACCAGGCTGTATCCCCATGGTGGGTCTGCCCCACATAGCTTCTTTAAAAATAAGGTTTTCATTTCAACAGTACCAAAAATCAAGACCTTCTTATGCTAGAGACAACAAAGATTAAGTAGATCATCTCTGCTCTGCAGAGAGGTTTTCATTTCAACAGTACCAAAAATCAAGACCTTCTTATGCTAGAGACAACAAAGATTAAGTAGATCATCTCTGCTCTGCAGAGCTTAAAATTTAAGTAGTTGAGACAAGGTGCTAAGGGAAGAAGAGAGAGGAAGGTGAACTAACTCCAAGACCATACTGGAGATTACTTTCAGAGCTGAGAATACCACCACAACAGTCTCCAGCCAGATGCAGAAACACTACAGCATGGTGGGATTGTCTCTTCAGTAATAAGTTTAAATAATCTAAATGCAAAGTGTCTATCATTTTTCTTGTAGACTGTCCTGCACCCTGACCACCAGGAATCAATATCTTTAATATTTAGCCTTAAGTACTATTCTTTCCTATATATAATTAATTTTACTGAACAACATAGTTTTCAATCCACTGTTTTTTACACACACTAGAGATCTTTTGTACCTCAGGCTGTGTCCCCCCCATCATTGTCTTCAAAAACTGCAAGTCTGACCCTCCTGCCACTCTTTCCTGAACTCACTCTGATTTGTCAAAGACATACAGGTTGCTACCACACCAGCTTACCAGCACTGGCAGGGCAGCCCTTTGGAGGTAGTTGCACAAGGGAGAATATCTCTTATTTGAGGATCACGGTAGAGAACAGTGCTTTTCCCCCAGAATCTACGCCACCACTTCACTGGTAATACAGACACTTTGCAGATCACTTAGAAAGCAACAGAAATGTGGGCAAAGCTGGGTCAATTTAAAGCAAGGCACCAGACTGACGGCTTCTTCTTATTAGATACAATGGGATCAGCTGTGTCTCCCTTTGAGCTACAGACCATCTCTCACTCTGGATTTATAAGGCTTAAAACAATCCCTCTGCCCTCATTTGGGACCCATAAACACCTGATTCCAGCCCAACACTGCCAACATTTTTAGCCAAAGTTTTACGTCATCACTGGATAAAAGCTTACAGTTCATACAACCCTCCACGACTGCAACATGCTGTGATGAGAAGAATTCCTTTGGCCAGCAAAAGATGAAGCTTCTATGTAGCATTGTCCGCTTATACAGACAGAACCTAAATGCAAACGTGACTGTATTATTTTTTTTTCCTTTTTTTATGTATATATTTTTTGTATCTGGTCTTGTACAAAGGTGGTTTTGAAGCAGGTGTGCTCTGCAAAGCTAGCAAAGAATCTGATCATATGAGGATCTTTGTTTGGGCTGGTACCCTGTAATGCTTTTTACTAATGATTTAGACATGAGAGATCATTGAATTTGCTGGAGATAATGAAATAAAGGCAGTGGTTAAAACTCAGAAGGACATAACCATTTTGCAGGCTGATCATAATAGAGGAGGTGAGTGGGCACAGAGGTAGGATATGAAATTTAATGTGGCTAAGCGTGAAGTGATGCATGGGGGTAAGAGCAGGCTCCAAGTAAAAGTGCATTTGAAATGGCACTGAGTCAGTAACACAAAGGAATATGATCTAGATGTACTGACAAAAATCAACATTTACTGTCTTTTGCCATTGTACAGTGAAGTAACATAATGTCTCAGGGTCAGACCTCCTCTGGAGGTCAACGGGAGAAGCAGGTGAGGGCAACAGCAGGTCCAGCTAATGACCATTAGATAGTTAGGGGGAGACTCATTTGCTCCAGCTTTCCCTGATGCCAAGCATCATTCTCAGCTGCTGCTTAAAGCTGTCTGCTCACACCCTCTTTTCTGATCTTTATTACTTTGCCAAAGTTTAATTGGCCCAGCTGATGCTTCCCAAGCTGGGTGTCTGCTGCAGACGGGTTAGTTAGTTATTTGTGTTATTATTTGCCAGAGGAGGTAGAAACAGGGAGGAGGGGAGGAAACTCTGGTTTTAATAAGAAATGAGTGTGACTTGTTCCAAGGCAGAAATGCATCAAACAAAGCATTAGGAAAAAATCTTACAGTTTTGGGAGGGAGAAACACTGCATCTTCCCTGCTTTGGAATAGGGATTTGACATGAGAAAGAGAGAGAGAGTCATTCTGATAGCTGGGGAAGACAAGACAAAAGAACATTGGAGTTTTAAAATTGAAGATAGGAAATTCCAAAATTGCCAGTGTACATACTTTAACTCAACCCTTTCTGTATATACTCATTATATCATAATCTTAATTACGTGGTTGCCTCAGTTTTGCCTACAGAACGTGCCTCCCAGGATACAACATGCTTATTGAACCAGGCACTAGGTTTCTCCCTGTCATTCAGTGGACAACCCCATCCCTAATTTTTCTCCGCACTATGCGAGCCTTGCTCCAAAGACTGTCTTATAAATTACAAATATTTTTCTCTGCTGATCCTCCATGCCAGAAGTTCTATTAGTGTGAATGAATTTATTTTCAAAACACTCCTGTGAGATGAAGCTCCAGTATGATCCTCACAGTAAATGCCAGGAGGTGAGACACAGAGATATATAAAAAAAAAAATAAAAAATAAATAAAAAAAATTATCCATTAGTACTGTTTGATTTGAGCTTGCTGTGACCCATTTTTTTCCAAGAGGTTAGCCTTTTTTAGAGATTTCATTGTTAGATCTCTTAGGTACTATTCATTTTAGTTTCAGTTTTAACTATTCAACATTTCTACAAAGCAGAATGCTTAGTCTCAATGAATGGTCAACAAAGATTTTACTCTAAAATTACTTCACTTGTGTGCATAGGTAAAGGACTTTTCTGGTGGAGTCAGGGCTGCCACAAAACAATTTCATTTTTTTTTTGAAAGAGGAGAAATGAATAATCAAGGTTTCAATTAAAAACAACTACAACGATCTTTTGTAATGAATCTGGGCTCTTCAACAGATGAGAGGGCAAAAAGGAGCAGAGCTGTGGTTAGGTTGAATTTTGGGATGAGCTTAGGCCAAGCTTTAGTCACTGCTCTGAACCAAGCAGCATCAAGCTCTCCTGCAATTGTTCCTAGTTTTAGCAAAAAAGAAATAAGTGGGGGTAAGGGTAAGAAGCAGATGAATGGGATTAACTAAACTTGGATGATTGTTAGAAGATGGCAAACAACCCAAAGGTATGAGGCTGTCCACATCTTTGAAATTCTTGGTTTTGCCATCTTCAAATGAGCATCCAAATGTAGCCTTCTGTCATTTAAAACTCTATCCTAGTCTTAAAAGCCTTCCTCCTTCATCATGCCTTTCTACTAGGAAAAGATTTTATAACAAAATTTCAAACTAGCTCTACACTTCCCTGTCTAAACCTTAGTAACAGCTTTTCTCCCCTTTGGTATCTCACCCACTTCATCACTTCCACCCCGCTGCTGCCAACCACACCCTTCACATTTCTGCAACGAAGGAGACAGCACTCGTTTGAGAAAATGGGATCTTTCTGAGAGTTTTGCTTCCCTTATGGGTATAAGACATTCAAGATTTGGTAAACCTTTAATTTTTTGGAGAAAATACAATGTTGTCAACAGGAGAAAGTACACAACCACAATAACAGAGCTTGGTAGGGATCTCTGGAGGACTCTGGTCCAGCTCCCCGCTCATGGGCAACTACAAAATTAGATCCAGTGCTGGATTTAGATGAGGTTGCTCAAGATCATCTGGAGCTGTGGCATTAGCAGAGAAGTAATCCAGGTGTTTCCTTGTAAGGGCTCAACAGCCATGGGCACACACATGTCGCCACAGGCTCTACTGTTTCTTCTCAGGAGGTTCCTGAGTTGCAACAGTGCGATAATTTGCCTTGTCCATGCCTCATCTGTAAGGTAGGCATCTCTCCATCCATTGCCCTATTTTAAAAATGGCTCAGCTTTATGAACTATTACCAAATCTGCTTTACTTTGC